TCTGTTCTTTAGGTCCTATTTATATAATAGATCTCAATTTGTGTAAATTAAACTTAAGATGTTCCTGGAATATCCTTGGTCTCCTACTTTTTGTTATCTATAAGTACATCTGATAGCTTCTTGGTGGTCCCAAACTCCCATTTGCAAGCATATGTCGACAACAAAAATCAGCTCCCTTATACCATCTTATACCCTGAAAATGCTCCAATTGAGTTAAACTAATTCTCTGACTGATCGTTTAAGTAGGTATATAGATTGACACTGATGTTCTTGGTTTATCTTACTGTGCCAAAAATCAGGGACTACATCTGAATGTTCATAAAGCTTGCCTCGAGAAAGTTAGGTATATTAAAATGAAGCTCCTATACAGAGTGGCAAAAAGGTCGCGCATAATACCTGTAACTTTTTAATTGGCTCATATACGAAAAAGTGACCATAATGAAAGTTGCTCAGTGAATTATTTCCCACATTTCTACCTAGACGAATTGTTTCTGTCACTTCTGGTTTGTTTGCTATGCAGACCAACTTTGTTTTTTCGAATGAATTGCATATTGGAATTCTATGAAAAAATTCTGAGCCAGATTTTTTGTGATATACCCTATACCTAAGTTCAACTGTTTTGAACAGACCAACTTTGTTTTTTCAAATAAAACTGCCTGTATGTGATTGAATATTTGAATTCTACGTAAAATTCTGAGCAGATTTCTTGTGATATACCCAGGGATATACCCTATACCTAAGTTCAACTGTTTTGGAAATATTGACAGTCAAAAATTGACTCTTTTGCAACTTTAACCTTAACGGTTAATTTTAGAGGAAAACCCATCTTACATTCTTATTTTAGATTTTCATAAGCTATCATTTGACAAAAACTTTGAATTTAACCCGAGATTAAACTAAATTGGAATTTTCAATCATGAATTAAATTCAAAGTTGGTGTCAAGTGATAGTTTATGAAAATCTAACACAAGAATGTAAGATCGGTTTTCCTCTAAAATTACCCGTTTAGGTTTTACAGCCTGTCAAAGTTGCAAAAAAGTCCATTTTCAATTGTCAATATTTCTAAAACAGTTGAACTTAGGCCTAGGTATCAGGTATATCATATAAATCTGCTCAGAATTTCACGTAGAATCCAAATATACAATCACATAGAGGGTGTTTTATTTAAAAAAACAAAGTTGGTCTGGATAGCAAACAAACCACAAGTGAGAGAAACAATTCGTCTAAGTCGAAATGTCAGAAATAATTTACTGAGCAACTTTCATCAAGGTCACTTTTTCGTATATGAGGTAATCAAAAAAGTTACAGGTATTATGCGCGACTTTTTTGCCACTTGTATACCTACAAACAGGTGTCTTCTTGATTTTGAAATGAGAAAAAAAAAATTGTGAAGCACTTGTATTAGCAATTTCCAACTCTTCCATTTTTAGAATTATTCATCAAAAAAAGAACCCATTATGTACAAAATACATGCTGCAGATTTATTTTTAGTTTAAAGAAATATGATTCTGTGTCGGGCAGTATTATAAAAAAAAACGGATTGGTTGGCTGAAATTTGATATGAATAAATTATATTCTTCGAGTATTAGATTGTAATAGAATGTGATGTTCGTATTGTTCATAATTCAAACCTAAGAAACTTTTACAGTACCTAAAACAAAGAACTTCACAATTTCAGAGAAGTCTCTCATATTGTATTGTAAAATTGTTAAACTCAGTAAGTTTGCCTTTCAGAGAATATCACATTATATAAATTAAGATGGAATATATACCTCCTATAGCCACTCAGTTCTAAAAAAACAAAGTGAATAGATATTAGGTGCTCCATAAATATTAAAAATTATATACTTAATTTGAGTAAAAGACCAGCAAATTCACAGAATAAATCAAGGAATATTTAGACATGCTATGCATTCAATATTGGACAAAAAAGCACTGTGTATAATTATTGCTAATTTTCAGCCAGGCAACTTCCTTCATGCTTAGATGATACTCATGAAACACAGGACATCATAATTTTTGTTGTGCAATAATAGATAAGTGTCAATTTCCTAAGGGAGCATTAAGATGCAGATTTATCAGTTTCTTAGCAGATTTTATTTATGAAGAAGATTTTCTTTCTCGGATTTCCTTAAGAAATGAATGCATGTTTCACGTATTCAAAAACTAAAAAATATTAATCATCCTCATATCATTACGAGTCTGATAATATACTCCTGGACAAAATTATCGCACCACTGCATATAAGCATCACCATAAGCAGTGGTGCGATAATTTTGTCCAGGAGTATATTTAGCATAAATATTGCACACTTATATTATCAATAGTAATATAACTAGTGCAATGAAAATTATTGATAATTTTTGGGAAATTTGCCCGAATGCATGAGTGCAAATTTGTCGAGTTTTGACAGATGTATGAAATTCTCATATTAATGGTTTGTAAATAATATTTCTAAGTTCCTTTTATTGAAATTGTAGAAAACCTTGGCACTAGTTTTGGTTACTGTTTTAAGGACAAGTACTTAATTTTTTAAAAAATATATATTATTTATAAAAAAAAGTAAATGCCAAATTTCTGATGCATCTCATATTCAAGTTGCCTGTCATGCCAGATTGTGATGAAAGTACTCAAGAATATGAATTTGTATTATGGGCATGAGTTTCAATAGTAATTATTAGGTGATTGATGACATACTTACTTAAACAAACTAGTAAATAAAGTTTAGTAATTATTTTCAAGTACCAGCTACATAATAATCTACCTCAATGATAATATTATAGAGTGCACAAAATGATTTCTCAATTTTGGATAAGCACAAATCACATTCTAAAAAAATTAATAGTCATCATAACACACAGCAGACACTACTCTTGTTGCCGTCTTTTTTTAGATCGGCAATCATATATTCTTGCACCTTGCACCAATTTGTATTTAATTAACAACTTGTAATCGTATTCACATGCAGGAGGAAAGGCAACGAAGTGACATAATACACCTTGTATTATTATGTAGAATGTATCATTGATCTTGACATTGTCAAGTCTATATTTAAACAAGTTAATACTTTGAGCAATCAGGTGGCTGGAAAACATACCACTAAAAGCCCAAAAATTATTTATCTGGAAGGTTTTTCTTTTGATAAATTCTTCCAGTGTCCAGCAAAAAAATTCAGAGCCATATTAATTACCAGTGTTCTTGGATATCAAAATAGGAACTCTCCTTAACCGACGTTCTTTTAAAGAATACTAGATTCCTGGTTGAAAAGTTTGATGTGTATTTTTGGTAACACTGTTTGTTAAAATCGATTCCACAGAAAGATCTTGAAAAGTTTCTAATATGCAGCATGTAAAAGATTTGGATTATTCACTAATGCCCGCATTACATTTGTGTATTTTTCCGTGTATTTATTCATGTAGTTCAGGGTGCCAACATTATTTTGTTTATCATAATGCTGATTTATAATGCGTTTGAAGTTTTTCGGTCTTCACCCTGAACTACATGAATAAATACACGGAAAAATACACAGATCTAATACGGGCATAAGACTTTTTTGTTAACAATTTTCACATACTAACAAGTCAAAAATAATAAAATCTACAAGACTACAATTAAAAAATGTGGGTTAATTTCAAACCACTTCCAATTTATAATATTCGATTGGAGCTGCACCGTCAATAAACTAAACAACTACAAGCTGTAAATAAACAACAATAATATTAAGGCCCCCTATCTTGATACTTATCGCCATGACGAAACAAAAATCCAAAAATCACACTAATAACCAGAATCGCTAACCGTGATTCTGCTGCGCAATCCTCTCTCGGTTTTTCAATTTTAATCACCACTTCAAACCGTGGTACTTTGATCCCAAGGCTGTGACACTTTAACTAGTAGTCGCTTGTTGTTTCGGTTTAGTACTCAGTCGATTGTGTTGGTGTGCGCTTCGCAACAACCGGTTTTAGATAATTAGTAAATAATTAAACTTAATTCAGTAAAAATGGTGCAAGAATACACGACTGCCCAAGTAAAAGAACACAACAGTAAGGGTAGCGTTTGGATTTTGATTCACAATGACGTCTACGATGTTACACCATTTTTAAACGAGGTGATTATTAAAATTTTTATGTATATTGAATTTTCTAGAACGTTTATGACATGAACATCCGATGCAGTTCTATAATTAAAATTACCTATTTTTTTATACTTAAAACATGCTTTTGCCCTTTGGTCAAATCAGTATAAGCATAGATGTAATTTTTCTAGAATGTCATCACTGTTTGTTTATCCATGAATCGGAAATCATTTTGTGTACTTTGTATTATACGTAGCACGTACCTCGGTTAATAGATCCATACTTGCAAATTAAAAAAGATAATTAGGTACATTACTTTTAAATTATTAGATAACAGTTTGCTTAAGTAGATATTTGTGTCTAAAAATTAATGGAATTGATAAGTATTAAGCCACTGTTTTGATAAGACAATCATTGAATTTGTTTAGCTTTTGGAGTTTCAAATGCGAAAAACGTGCAGTCATTTCTCTTTTTAGAAGATGCAAAGAAAATATTCAATAATTTGTTTTGTAGATGACCTTTATATATGTAGATTTATTACTTATTTTTGCATTTTATATTTTATAATTATAATGATTTTTGTACTACAATTTGTAAACAGTTCCAATTAGAACATTATTTGATCACACAGGCAAAATGGTGTTCTTTTCTCTAATTTATTATACTTCTGCTAAAATTTACTTAGTTTGTCATGCGAGGCCTTGGTTTTTAGTTGGCTATTGGTTGTACCATAAAAAAATAGATGTAGACGTGATCTGATCCATATTTAAAAAGAGTCAAAGTCTAATATACCAGAGGTCACCAGAAATAATGTTCAACTAGACTCTACCAATAATTAATTATAAAGGATTATAGAAATTTGATAAACTGATTTATTTTCTATATACCTCATAATTATTTTTGCTTTTCATAAACTATTTTTTAGCACCCTGGTGGTGAAGAAGTGCTACTCGAACAAGCCGGGAAAGAAGCCACTGAGACCTTCGAAGATGTCGGTCACTCTAGCGATGCCAGGGAAATGATGGAAAAATTCAAAATTGGTACTTTGGTAGCCGCCGAACGTAAAGCTGATTTGCCCAAGAAAAGTGATGCCGATTGGAAGGAGCCATCAGATGCGTCTTCTTCGGATAGGTGAGAAGACCTTTTTATGATTTTAAATTGTTGATAAAACGTACAAAAACACATATCAACTGCCATGAAATATTTATTCGCATCTTATAAATAGCCATTATTCTTATTAAAACGCCCACGTCAATGACAAGCAAATTAGAATCCATTTTAGGCAAACCCATAGAAATATTTAAATTATATATGTGGATGATTGTATTTTGTGACTAGAAGCCTTGGATACAACCGGGGAATAATATTGCATTTAATTTAGATAAAACCCTATATGTATATATTTTTTTTTTGGACTTACAATAATGACCATATAATCAGCAGAACAATGCCTATTAAAATCCAATGTAATACATACATAAATAATTTATTTGGTAATGTAAATGTATATTTTTCCACGAAAAGTTCGGTGCGACGATAATAAAATTTTTAATTCAACAAATTATTTGGTAATTTTCATTTAACCTTCAACAGAAAAAAATACAAGTACAAGGGTTTCTCTCAAGGGGCATGCCTACATTATGTTTGCTATCCTCGAATCTGATTATTTTGTTTTATTTCAAAATGTGGAATGTTGATTGCTTTTTTTCTCTTGATATTTCTAGTTTTCTGTAAAAAGTGGGCCAGTAGCGAGTTACTGATTACTGTAGTTCTCAAACTTTTCACAAGATGATCAAAAAATGTTAAAGCCGAATGCGGGGTTGTTATTGTATAATCTACATATACAGGGTGATTAACGTAGCTCGTGCATTAGCTTGCAGGTGCATTAGATGCTATTTCTGCTAATCCACCTGCAAACTGGACAACTTTAAATGCTCGGGCTACGTAAATCTCCATGTATACTTTGCTAATAAAGTTAATATGTCTTTCCACGCCATTCTGACATTATCACTTGAGCTAGAATTTTCAAATTTGGAATAGTATTTCTTGGGTTACTGGCTAGAACCTAACAGACAACAATTTCGATTTAAAAAAAAAAATGAAGGCAGAAAACCTTATATCTCGGAATTCTGCTCTTTTAAAGGACCATGAGTCTTGCATTAATTGACAAAGAGTAGCCAGACCATTATTGTTCAATAGAAGCGAATGACTGCAAAAATACCTTCAGAATTTTGTCAAAATATCTAATTTCTTATCTTTATTGCAGCTCATTAAAATCATGGATCCTCCCTGTTGCCTTAGGATTGATAGCTACAGCAGTCTACCGTCTCTATTTCATGTCATAGGCTAGTAAAAGAAATCTTTACGCCACTACATGAGATTTATTTCGACAACACTTAAGATGCATTTAAGGGTATTTAGGGACTAAAAACTATTAAAATAATTTGCAACCTGGATGTCTATTTTTGGAGAAATTATCAATAAAATTGTTTAGCCATTAAATTAATTTGATTAGTGCTATGGATGTGCCTTTGGTCAATGGTTGAAGTACTTTCAATCTTCGACCAATTTGTTTTGAAATGCCAGGTTAATTTATGAACAACCCTGTTCATTTATTAACCTTTTGGTTTGTTACTAAAAAATGAATGAGACGTTAGTGTTTTAAGTTTTTTTATTATCTACAAATGTGCAAACATATTTTACATTTATTATAAACATTTGTATTAACTGTTTGGCTGGCACTATTAAAATAAAAAATATTAGTTTTATTTCTAAGTTTTTTTATTCAAAAATACCAGAACCTAACTCACTAATCCCTATTAAAAAAACTCTACACCTCCCTTAACATTAAAATGTACTTGATTTGAACAATTTTTTTCCAAATTGGTAACACAAGCTGTATAACTTAATTTACTATTTTTAACAATATTAATGACATAAGAAACTTGATTGCCTCTTTTTAAATTATCAGTATTAGTAGTGGTACAAGTTCTTCCATACATTAAAACTACATTCAAATCTTTTATTTTTTCAAAAAGTGAATCCACAGTTTTAATACAGTGCTCGTCAAAACTTAGCCTACAGTTCATAAATTTTTTTGTCCAGTATTGTGATAGACAATTATCTAATACAACTAAACCAGGGTTCTGGCAATTATTAATTATGCGTTCTAAATTATGAAAACTTATTTCTAAGATATCAGAATTATAGCAATTTAGAATTACCAAACGTTTTAGAGTTTCTTCTATAATAGGCACTCGATTGTTCTTTTTTATGTTATTTTGATCAAGTTTCTTCTCAATAACCTTAATAATTTTTTTGATGTCCATATGAAAATCGGACTGTAGCAAAATAACATTAGATTCTTTGAATTCTGGCGAAAGTCTGGAAGGTAGAATTGCCCGTACGATGAAATCCATCAAGAAATCTGTATAGTCTGTGTCTTCTTGGTTGAATACAACTTCAATTACTTGATTACCAAAAGGGCCACCTTCGGGGAACAATTTTGGATTAATACCATTCAACGCTTGATATTGTTCACTCTTTATTCTTGCAAATAGTTGGACTCCGGATTCTATGGTTTGGTTTTTTATTGGTGTTTTCTGTTTTTGCATTTTGGAGGGCAAACCTAAAGAAAAGTGTAAATAGTTATTACTTTAATAAAATAAAAAAATATTTAAAGTTACGTGAGAAGGCGTTGGTAGCTTCTCACTCTGCATTTACTCCTCAATACTATAGAGCGATTTTGATTTGTGTTAAAAATCTTATGAGATTTAACTATTCTGAATTGCTTAGGTGAAGGGCGATACAAAACAATATCTACAAGAAGCTTATATTAAAATGCCGGTATCCAAGGAACCATTAGAACTTTCTGACGCCTTTGGTATGTATTTGGACAAGCTGTTTTTTATATGAATTAAAGATTTATACATAAAAGATGCTGACAAGTGGTAGTATTTTATTTTCTCTAAAGGATTTTTGACACGATTGATTTCGTTTTAATTGAAAACAACAAAACTTCCAGCAAAGAAGGCCGAGGAAGCCCACCTCATTGGAATGTATGTTAGTATTGACATAATTTTCCTTCTTTGTGATACTTGAGGGTATGAGTATGAGTATTTTTAAAACCACATAGGTGATAAATTAGTAAAGTTCTGTTGATACAACAGCTGGTTTTAAATAAGCTCAATTTGCGTCTAATGCTGAACCATTGGGCTCTCATTAGAATGTGGAATGTGCTACACACACAATAATGTCACAGACATCGACACATTCTTAAATTTGTCAACTAGTTAAAGGCTTAACTAAGTAGCGATTGATCCAGCTGTACTTAAGGTTTTCACCTTCGAGCGTGCGGTAGATTGCAGTTTACCACATTAATTGCAAGTGGAAAGTAGCACTTTAGCTGATAGCGTGTGGTAAAGTAGCCTTTGGTATTTATAATCAAAAATCCCTCTTTCAGAAATTACAATACCTTTTTTTACAGATCTCCTTGAGGGTAAAGTATCAATTTCTGTATTTGTTAGGTAAATGTAACTATAATATTCTAGCCAAGCCAGAATACCAGTGCAAAGGTACTTATTAACATGACAGGGATTTATTAAATAGATAAAATAAAATGCAGTTTTTCTTACGGTTCCTAAATATTATTTCATAGTTATTAAACCAATGAGAATCACAGAGATGTACAGGGTCTGCGATTATATTTAAGCCCATACCTACATTACATACCTACCCATGCCCTTATACCTTTAATAGTAAAGACTGTAGGTATGGGCTTAAAAATAATCAAAGACCCTGTATTGTCTGTCATTTTTAATCTGACACTTTTCGTATGAGGAGGGAGGAGGTAAAGCTAATGGCAAAAACAGGTGTGACGTCAGGTGACCATTGGCGTTCTAATGTAGGGAGCCAACTAGCTCACATTCCTTTAGAGTATCAGATTAAAATCGACGGACTTTACCTCGCCCTTCACACTTTACACGTATTTACCATAAACTAAAATACGAAGGAATTAGAAAATTACATAAGAACCGTTTTTTAAATATTTCAACTAATTAATAACATTTGAGAATTGTTGAAATCAGAATAGGAAAAACCTCAATGAAAAACGGAAAATTCTAAGCTTACTTTCCTCAAACAATTTGAAAAGAAAAAGATGTTTTTGTAGCGCACGCCCTCTGTTGAAAGTTGTCGGATTTATATCGTGAGCCAGAGCCAGACCAGAGTTACACTTTCTGTTCCAACCAACGCACAAATCACAATTGGAATATAAAATAGAGCAGATATAGTGGATTAGGAGTGGTTCTGACCTGAACACCTGAACCAGCCCAAATCACTTGATGATTGGCGTATTTACCTCGCACTCACTCTGAACAGTTTCGTATCATAAAAGTGCAGCTACTCCCGTTCTACCCCGACCAAAAGATAGTGCGACTTGAGAATTGACGAAAAAAATTTCGCGACAGAATGATATCCACACTCATTTTTAGGTCAATCCAGAACTTGCCCTGGTGCAGTCAGTCCAAATGGAGTTCACATTTGACCGTGGGTCGGAACTATTGGTATAATTTAAAAAAAATTGTTTTTTTTTATTCTAATTTTTCATAGATCTTCAATTAAAATTTAGATTTTCTTGGCTGCTTAGATGGATTTATTATATATCGAAGAGTTCATATAAAAGTTTTACGAAATGGGCCAAAAATATCAAAACAAATTTTTTGTTAACGTACGATCTTCTGGAGCAGATACGTAACTGATTGGATTCGGAGCAAAAAGTTTCGCACCATTTTCATATTAGTTGTATTCCTTTCAAGAGTTTAAAATACCAGAGCTACTCGCTTTGGTGTTAGTCAACCCCGATTTGAAAAGAACTGATGCGCTGGCTTTCTTGCATTTAAATGGTTTAGTTCGGGCTTGAGCACTTAGTGCAACAAACACTTTTCGAAAGGAATAAGCGCGTACCGCCCCGGAGCTGTTCCGGAGCTCCTCCTAGGTGTGAAAGGAATACAGCTTTGGAATTCAAAATACTTTACTAAAGCCCGTTTTTTTTTTAAAGATAATTTCATTAATTCCCCAAGTCAAAAATTTAGTAACTATGTTGGCAACACAAGCCTTTTCTATATAAAAAATTTGAAAGCATTGACAATTTTACATTATATTGCCAACATAATGTCATTTTGACTTTTATCTTTAAAAAAAAAACAGATTTTACTTAAATTGCCAATCGTTCTAATAATATTTTCGGTTTTACTGCTCCCAGAGCGCTCCCCGTCTGACCGCTGACGTCACGGATCTCTGTGAGATTGCTCCGAGAGCGAATATAATTCAAACGAGGGCACACCATTGAAATCAATAGCCGAACGTACTCTATTGTTTTGATCAAACTCATTGATCCATCGAATTTGACAGAGCAAGAAAGAGCGTTCTACTCTCGGTTCTATTGCTCAAGTCAAACCCGTGAATCGGTGAATCTCGTCGAGAGCAACGCTCCGTCTTAAGCCGAACATGTGAATCCGTTCCGGAACGCGTTTTGAACTATCGGTTGCAGTTTTGAGGCATAAGTTGAAAGCGCTATAAGAATAAACCCTACTACCTTCCAAGGATAATACACACTCACAAGATTGCTTATCGTTTTTGGTAATTGCCGCCATATTGGTGTGTTACCATTTCCGACGTCACCAACTAAGTCCATCGCCGCCCCAAAATAATTTTAAAACTTGGGATCCCAGAACAGGGTCAAAATGGACCCAGATACAAACCTTTTCTTCGATAGATTTTGAATATAAAATTTTGGGAATGATAATAGTATATTACATACCGAGTAGGGAAGTCTTTCATTACAAAACTTTCCTCCGAGGTTTGTATGACACAGGTAAAGTGACAGTTTCAAATTTTTAAAAAGTCAGTAATGTCAGGATTACATAATATCTGGTTGCAAATAAAACATGTTTTTGTATTATGCTGTAATTTCATTATGTAAAAAAAAAACAATAAAATAAACTTTCTATTTTAAGATAAGTAGGTAGAATGGATAGAATATTTCTACCAGAATGAGAAAATTACAATTCAATTTACCTACATGAATTATCCAAACGGCTGATATGACCATATTATACAGACGAGCCATCCTTTGGCCGTGTTCGTTTTTGTCATCTTTCGTCGATTTTGATCCAAAATTTTGACAGGCACGTGACTGGATCAGACTAGTTTCAATTTCCAAATCACATGCCTGTCAATATTTCGGATCAAATCGACAGAAAAGATGACTAAAACGAACACGGCTCTTCTTGAAGAGACGGACTATTTTGCTTTTGAGGTTGAGTTCGGCTATGGAGCAGAACGATTAACATGTGGGTATATCGTAAAGGTGACGTCATACGCAGATTGCGCCCCGAATAGGTTCATGCCGTCTAGCCGAACACAGATCGAAAAAAAATTAGTTACTGGCAAGGGATTGGCTTGCCAGTAACTAATCTCAAAAAAAATTATTTTGTTTTGTTTTTAATTTTATTTTACTAAAATCTGTTTTTTTTTAAGATAATTCCCCAAGTCAAAAATTTAGTAACTATTGTTTGTTTTGTATGTTGGCAACACTGCCCTATTTTCTATTTTTGTGAGGTTGGCACCCCTTCTGTCATGTCACGGGGGCTGTCAGCCAGGATTGACATTGCTTCGACAATTTGACGTTTGATTCACGCATAAAACGTCAAATTGTCGAAGCAATGTCAAAAAAGTGCGAATTTCGCAGTTATGAGTACAAGGCTTAAGGCCTGTGTGTAACAAATCCCCCCACCCCATGCCAAAATACTAGTTGTGACGTAGTAGGCAGCATGTTATTTCTCGCCTTGACGTTAGGCTGTTTAAACCAACGAACTGTTTAAACTGCTGACGACTTAGTTATGACGTCGGAAATGGTGACACGCTACACCATTATGGCGGCGATTACCAAAAACGAGGCCGATAAGCACTCCGAGTGTGTATTCTCCTTGATCCATGACTAAAGAAATTCGAATCTAAAAATGACAGAGAACGTCAAAAGTCAAACTTGTCATACTCTCAACATTCACTTTCCAAACCACTCCTTCTTTTGACCCTAGCTTACTATCCTTGGCTCACTCCCATCTCGGCCATCCTCATCTCACTTCTCACTGTCGCTCTGTCATCAGTGTCATGACGATCCTCATTCCTAATCTGTCATTCAATCTGTATTGAGCGTGTGTGTGGTGGTGTATTGTTACTGTTATTTGTTTTTACAGTTACGAGCATAAAAAAAAGACTGCAAATAGAAATAAATTAGAAGTTGTCCGTCGAAATGCACGGGATGCTGTTGGTCAACGTAACGTCCTTGATTTGTACCGAGTAATCTTGAAAAGCTAGAAACCTGTGGTTAGTTGGAGTCGAAAAGTGAAATTTTTTCCTGGGTGGCAAAGCAAAAAGGTAAATTAATGCAATTGTAAGCTGTTTTGTTTTAAATAGGAGCGGATATATTAATATGAAGGTTCTCATGCGCTATAATATTAGCAAAGAATGTAGTTTTCGTGTGGGAAAGTAGCCAGTTCCGTTCCTTTCATGGATATAATATGATAATGAATAATTTCAACTATGCCCTTGTAATATGATTCCATAGATTCACTCTTATTTGAAAGAAAATTGATCTTATTTTTAGGAATGTGGGGGCGTATAAAAACAGATTAATTAATTACTACTATGGTTTCCAAAGAGCTGAAGGAAATTTATTGCCAAGAATTTTTCGTTTTAGTCACCAAGAAAATGAATCAGACTTGATTGTTTTCTTTTTGTTGGCTTCACATTTTATTTTATTGTTACATTGATAGTACATGAGTAACAATTCTGCATTAAGTAATAAAAGGTTTTTTTTTTGGATTTTAATAACTGTAGTTTGACTCAGGTTTCTTTCATTATATGTTTAAGGGCCAAATTATGGACCAACTGGTAAGTGTCTGGTTGTTACCTAGCAGGTACTTTCTATTCTCTAGTGCATGGAAAGTACCTAAAACTGCTTTGACAGTTAACTTGCAGTTAACTTTTTGAATTACATGGTCATTCCAGAAGTTAACTTTAAGTTAACTCTCAAAGTAGTTTTATAATATTTATAATAGAAGTTAATTATGAGCAGGTAATTTAACTAATAGTTATCAATTTAAGATGTTATTTTAATTTGATATCCTATTATTGTTCAATGTTTTGTTGTTATCTCTTAAGTAGGTACCTATTACAAACTATATTATTATCTTGTAGATTAATACAACTTATAAAAAGTTCTCAAAATATAGGAATTGAAAAATACTTTAGTGATTCATGCGAGGATTCATGTCATAAGACCACTTTTTGTGCTGAGCTCCAAATTTGGAGGTGGATGCAAAGACAATCATGGATGGAATCAACAAAAATGTCCTCATTGGTTGATCCCTAGCAATAATTGAAATACGGATTCAAATTCAAGAGGTTTAGTTATTTTTGATGAATACCAACCCACAAAACCACACAGTGTGTTAACAAAGATTCTTATTAGAGGTATTTTGCTAACCTTACTTAATACATAAAATTATTCAAAAGCATTATCCTTCAGTCTTTTTATATGCTTGAAATGTTTAACTAATTTACACTCTGGAATAAGATTTTTTTATGGAAGTATCAATAAAGAAAATTGTTTGTCTTTTTTCACAGGAAAATTTGGCTTTAATTCAGTTGTTTATCTAATTTCCAAAAATGGACCCTCAAAGGGACCATTAACAATGAGATTACCAATTGGAGAAGAGCAATCATCTTGCAGATAAACCATCCACTCTAGAAGGCAGAGAGTGCTTCAATTACTTTCTAGAAAAGAGGAAGAATGACCTAGGATCACTCATGTTATTCACAAAATTCCTACACTCGCCTTTTCCTCTTCAACAATAATAGGAATATTTGTTAATGCTTTTTGAAACTAGGGGCCGTATTTTGTGGTGGAAATTTAACGATTTTAAGATGGATTTACAAATCTATAGGTGATTTATCTCTCCTGAATTTTTTTCTCCTGTTTTTTAAAGATTATCATGATTTAACTAGACTACATTTTAGCCTGGGGGCGGTCAACTTCCTCAAAATGTGTACACCGATTTAAAATAACTCTTGATTTTAACTGATTTAACAGATTTGATCGGATTTAAGAGATTTTTATTCAAACCTTAACTGATTTAAGGTAATTTAAAGATTTATTGGATTATTTAAACAGATTTAAGCTGATCTAGGAAGATTTAACCTGATTGATTTACGAAGATTTAAATGGATTAAAGATTTTTTTAAGATTTGAACCTCGATTTGAACTGATTTAACCTGGGATGATTCAAGGTAATTAATTTAATCCTGAGAAGATGAAAATGTATCTAATAACCAGATATTTTAGTGCTAATGGGTACTTTCGCTCTCATAATATTCCAATTTAAATTTTGAACTAATAAAAAAAATTCTAAAACTGATAAAGTTTGTGAGGCTTTTGCGGCCCAGGTTTATTGATAAGGTGTTTTCATTCAGACTTAATGGCCATCGTGAGTTGGAATTTCTTCCCTTTTCTTAGGAAGAAATTTCAACTTACGACGGCCATTTAGCCCGAATGAGAACACCTTATCAGTTCTAAAAATGCCACCAAAGTCAGCTAGTCTTGGTACACAATGCAATTAAATAATTAAAACTTGAATTTAAATTCACAACAAATTTGAAGATTCTTCCTGTGCTGCCAACAAAAACACACATGCACAAGCTGCAAACGAATATAAGCGATTGCACCTCGAGGTTTGTCGAGTTGGAGTCGCCCAAAGTTTGCGCCGGATTTTAACCATTTTTTTATCGATTTGAAATGATTTATGGGGATTTATGAAGATTTAAACGGATCTAAAGAGATTTAACGAGATATAGAAAGATTTACCGAGATAAAGAAAAATTTAAAGGGATTTAAACAGATTTAACTCGATTTAAAAAGATTTAAAGGGATTGTAAAAGATTTAAGAAAATTTAAATTGGTCTGACCTGATGTAACGTGATTTGATATGATTTATGAAAAAACTAAGGTGATTTAAGGAAATTTATTTAGGGATTCAAAGTGTTCCGGATCTCAGATTTTTAGGGATTTAATTGATTTTAAAAGATTTGAGAGGGATTTGACGAGATTTGAAGGGATTTAAAGAGATTTGAAGGGATTTAACCTCATTCAATCTGATTTAGAGCAAAACAAGATGATTTATGTGATTTAATAAGGGATTTAAAGTGATTTAAGTCCATTTGTACAGGGTGCTGCAATTTGGAGTGTTTTAACAGGAAAAACATACTTCCAGGCCAGATAGAGGAAAATTGACTTAAACGTCATGGGATCGATTTTAGAGAAACGTCAATTGTCAAAAACTGTATCATGATATCTTCAATGGTACCATTGATACAGGGCGGCGATTTTCGATTTTCCCCTATTATGAAAAATGGCTATAAGTTTTTTATTTATCAATTTATTTTTTTTATTTCTGTTAAAACATTATGGAGACACTTTTTTGAGCACAATCCAGTGGCGGACTCAGTTTTTTTCTATATTGCTCCGATTTCGAGAACGATATAGAAAAAAACTGAGTCCGCCACTAGATTGTGCTCAAAAAAGTGTCTTCATAATAATTTTACAGAAACAAAAAAAATTGATAAATAAGAAACTTATAGCCATTTTTCTTAATAGGGAAAAATCGAAAATCGCCCTGTATCAATGGTACCATTGAAGATATCGCGATACGGTTTTTGACAAACGATGTTTTCCGAAAATCAATCCCATGACATCTAAGTCAATTTTCCTCTATCTGGTCTGGAAGTGTGTTTTTCTTGTTAAAACACTCCAAATTGCAGCACCCTGTACACCGATTTAACAGAGTTAACCGCCCCCCGATTTTAGCTTAAGATTTTTACTGATTTTATCTGATCAATGAGCTGGTTGATATAGGTTCTAACACCAATTTAGAAGAGTTATCTTCCTCTTGGTTTGGAAGTACCTACATCCTAGAATCTAGACATATAACCTGTGAAGAAGCCTTTGCGCTCTTAAGTTACCCAATAATAATAATAATAATAATAATAATAATAGACCAGCATTCCTTCTACCTCGCCTTCTACACATCACTCAATATTTGTTTTTGTATACTTCCATACAGCTAAGCTAAATTTTTCAGAATAAATTAGAAACTGTGGTTTGTAAATTTTCAAATTCTATGAAGCTAACTAATGTTTTCGAGAAAACCATAACATCATTAGGCTTCTTATTTTATGATTTGATATTCTGGATGAGAAAAACTGTGTTAATGCCAGGCAACATCCTTAGAACACCATTCTCATAAGGATTGTCAAACTAAAGCATTCTGGATCTCAGAATATATTGGGGTAGGTACTGGGGTAGGTAGTACTAAATAGCTTATTTGTCAAATTAACTTTTGTCTAGATTTTCACCCCTTGTATCGTCTACTTGTTAGATGTAGTACAGGATTACTCTCATTTAAAAATTCCATGATTGGTCTTAAAATTAGAATATAAATGCTGTTTTTAAATACAAGACAGTTTTGGGAAGCGATTGTGCTAAATAAAATTACATAATCAAATTGCACATGCCAATAATCTACAATTCCAAGAATTAAAGACACATTTGCTTATAGTTTACTAATGATTGATAAAAATTACAAAAATGTAAGCCAAACAAAATATTCAAAAATAATAGTATTGACCACTATTTGATTTTATCAGTTTTTAGTTTCCAGTTAAATGATTCCAAATGCATATTATGTAGGAACCACTCAGTGTTTGTTATCAAAGACTTAGTGTTTTTGCTAACCTCGATATACAAAATTAATCAAAAGCCTATATCATAATATCACTTTTGATGCTCATCATTAGTGATTCAAGACTTCCTATGTTCAATCCGAGGTTCAATCTTTATTATTATTTAAGTATCTAGAAGTTGTGGTTAATAAAATTACGTAATCATATTGCACATGCCAATAATCTACAATTCCACGAATTAAAGAAACATTGCTCATAGTTTACCAATGATTGATAAAAATTACAGATAAAACAAACAAAACATTTTCAAATAATTGAAGATTGACCATTATTTCATTTTAAAATTTTCCAGTTTCCAGTTGAATGATTTCAATTACGTAGGAATGTTCCTGTCCAAACACAGGAAATATAGAATTTTAAACTCAACCAGAAATATGTATTTTTTGAAATTAAATTATACCTCTCTTACAGTTAACAAAATGAAAAATGAATCTCTCGAAGATGATGACTCGGACATATACACATTTATTTGTAAGCTGAGGCAAGAGAAACTGTTTATCAAAAGTGAAAAGTTGGACATCCAAGAACTGAACGAGTTGATTAAAAGCAAAACGCAAACAGTGTTGAAAGCGTCGTGGCTAACTAACAAACAGAGACTCTTGCTATTTGAAAGAAGGGTGTCCAGCGAAAATTGTCAAAGATTTGACTTTATCAATTATTCGGAATTTGTTGAGGCTAAGCATAGTCTAGGATTTCAGGTACTTTATACATATTTTTTTTCTAAAACAATATACTGTATTTATTATTATTTATGTATAGAATGCTGTTAAAATATCCAATTTGCTGCACATTTTACGTTTGCAACCCAAACAGCTGGCTAACTGGCTTATTACAGGAGAATCAATATCAGAGGAAAATATACAATATCCTCTCATTTTGCAAAGTGTGCTCAATGGCCTTTACGGAGGCTGCATTTTTGCAGATGACACTAAATTGATGCTGGCTTTGCTTTTTGAACTTGCCAAAAAGCAATTGCTAAAAAGTGATAATCCAAGAAGGTAAATATCACTCATTTGATTTAGGCTGGCTCAATGATATTTTTAACAACTATTTTTCTTAGGATTATCAAGCAAAGAAGTTGTTCATTCAGACATTTATATTTCTTATTTCACGAAATTTATCAACCAGCCAAATTTTTCTTGAGTGCCGCATTAGAAATGCCCATATTAGAACTTTTATCATTCTCTGAATATTTCTTGGATATTGATCATGACAAAACAATAATGCGGTAAGTTGCATCACATTACGTTTTTACAATTATTATTAAACATTTCTTATAGCTTCAGGCAAGATGACAATCTAAAAATGTACAAAGACGCAGTAGAATATAGGAACGATGTAGTGGCCAAATTAGCGCAATTTACCAATAATTTTGTTCAGGCTCTCCTAGAAAACGTTTGTAGCTTTCCCAAAGCAATGGCCTGGATTTCTTTTCACATTTACAAAATGATTGAAAAGAATTTTTGCGCCAAAGAGGTAGCATTCTCACAGAGCCATTTGTTTTAATTACTTTTACTATAATCTCTTTTCTAGGCCAATGCAATAACAACTGAGCTACTATTCAACCTCTTCATATGTCCTGTAATTGTAGATCCGGAACAATATGGCATTTTTAATTCTACTACTAGCGAAATAGCTAGACATAATTTAATACAAATTGGAAAAATTCTGCAAATTCTTGCTTTGTATAAGTTTGAGGGCATCGATAAAAAATATTTAGATATTTTTGAAAATGTTGATAAAAACAGTATGAGTAACTTTATTGAATTGCTATTTTTCGATATGGATTCCATTGATCCACCTGTTGAAACTGCACCACAAGTTATAAGAGATATAATGTTGTTTACCGAAGATGAATTGAATAATTTGGTAATTAAATTTATTTAAATTAATAATATTATATTCATTGATGATATTTGCAGATATGTTTTTTGCAAAAAGTCCAAATGATGCGAATAGAAAATGACAATTTCGAAAAAAATCCATCATTAAGTGTTTCAATTGAGGAACACCTCTCCTCCCTTACAATTTCCTCAAGAGACAATTCCCCAAAGTCTTCTAGACCTAACGAAAACATTCAAGAGCCTAGCTGCTCCAATAATTTAGTCAAAAAACCTCCATTCTTCTCAATGGTTTCACTTGGAGCCCCCAAAACCAGCCATCATCGTCGTTCTAATGAAGAAGATCAAAAATCACCAGCCTCTATTAAAAATACTGTAATTATGTTTCCTATAGATGGCGTTATAGTAGAGCCTGTGGGACTGTTGCCGGAAGACAAAGTAATAGATTTGAGCGTTCCAGTTAAAAATGATAGTGGGGTATTCGAGGCTCCCTCTGAGATAGGTGCTTGCAAGGATTTAGATGTGAATGGGGCACCTCCAAATGGTGATATTAAATACTCAGGCTATCCAGATGAAGGTTCTATAGGTAATACCTCAGACAATCTAGAAGCCATATCGGAAGCTGCAAGCAATCATTCAGTTGCTAGTAGCTTAGAACTGGAAAATGAGGATCAAAATGATAATTTGTCTGATATGGTATCAGCCAATGTATCAGGCAGAGGTACACCTAATATTAGTGGAAGAGACACTCCTAGTAGCCAGGTAAATTTAATTAGGCATATATTTTTCAATATATTTTTTTTGGATAATATTTGTAGGTAAATGAAAACGATGATCGTCCCAATACCTATCAAAACCGGCCAGAAGATAACGTAGACGCGGGCGTTCAACAACCCCAACATCCTCAACAACCTCCCAGTAACATTTCGCGTCAGCGTCGATCAGAAATCGATGACAAATTTTGCAAGTTTGAGATTAAAAGATTGCTGGAAGGTGACGAGAATGTTTCGATCATTTCAGAGACTTGGAGTACTGACGTTTTAGCATCAGATAATGAAACAATAGCTGATGGTGAATCTAGGATTGAGAGGCATCAACATTTGCACTTGTTGGAACAGTCTATACAGGAAGTACCAATTGGTGAGAATTCAGGCAGATTGTTTCTTTCTTCTTGCAAGAAAGTTTAGGATTAACATTAGTTTATTTTAGCTGAAAGTGTATTAGATATTTCTGAAACTCAGAGTGAGAGTGCTTGGTCAACAGACGTTATGGCCTCAGATACTGAAAGGCTGACAGAAGTAGACAATGATGATGCAGCCAGTGTCGCTCAATCTGATGATACAAATAGTGTAGCTCCGTCAGAAGATACAAGATCAGAAACGGATGAAGCTGCCAGTGCTAGGAGGTTGAGTTCATGCTCCAGCACTTATGGAAATGCAACCACTTCCCAAAATTATGTTGCCAATGTTGCAGTTACTAATATGAGCTATGCAAATGTTAGGTAAGGTGAAAAACCAATTAATTTCAAAAGTTGTTGAAATGTTTTTTTTTTTTTTTTAGTTTAAGCAGCCCTGGTTTTGTTTCGACTACAAATTCAGCCTTTGTGTCTAGTGCCAGCAGCGGCAGTGGTACTTACAAATCTGCCGACGCCAATTTTGTGTCAATGAATCAAACCTATGTTACTGGAGCTTCATTTCATGAATTCAAAAAGCGTGATGGCAGGATTAATGGCAAAATTAATGCAGAAGTTGATAGCAACGCAAATAACTTATTTAAAGCTATATCCCAGGGAATGTCACAGAGCACACAGACTAACGTTTCTTTCAGTAATGTTACCACTAACGCTAGTGGAGGATTGTTTAATGCAAGAATAAGTTCACAAAAACAAGCCGATATAGCAGGGCCAAGTGGGTTGAATACCAAAAATAATCTGCTGGACGTTGAAAATGATCAAAATTTCTTAAAACAAACTTCTATTATGAAGAAATATGGTGATAGACCAACAGAAATTTTACTCAGCAATTGTAGTCTCAATTCTAGGTATTTATTTTTTTGTAATACATTTTTCAAAAATAGAATTAATTATGGTTTTTTTCTAGTTCTTCTGGCAGCTCAAGCAATAGTTTTGAAAACAAAGTTTCAGCAAATGAAAATTCTGAACAATGGGAACCTAAACCATGGCTCAATAGCTCTGGCAGTAGCCTCAATGTTACCCTAACTCCTTCAGAAAGCACAAGCGAATTATCAGTATTGAGCGTCAATAATATGGCCAATCACATGACAACAAGTCTTGTGAATCCGGCTGGTGGTATTAAAAAGACTACCACTGCCATAAATCGTAGTTTAAAGCCTTCAGCTTCAACTGGGGCGATTCCTAAAAGTATAAGTTTCGATATGAGCGTAGATAAAGGATTAGATGATGATTCTAGGCAAGTTTCAACAAAATTTTGACAAAATTGATTTTTATTGTTGGAACTATTTTAGGTCCAAACAGGGCGGATTTTTTGGAAGACTGAGGAAAGGATTTGGCTACAAAAAGCGGGCTTTTAGAAATCAGGATGAGTTGCGTAATGGAGATGCCGATGAATTTTTGGTGAAACGCGGAATTGTTGATTCACCAGTCAGGCTTAATAACACTGACTCTTCAGATGATATTTTGGCTAAATATCGTAAGCCCTTTGCAGAGAGTAGTCCTGTCAAAGAGAATGGTGCTGTTAAAAAGTTAACCAAAAGTCATAATGGAGATAATCTCAATCCTGAAACGAATTCTTTTTGTGATATTAAGAAAAAGTTGCGATTAGTCTTAGGAAATACTTCAGAAATTCCATTTTACATTAAGGTGAATATTTTATTTTTTGTTATATATAAGTATTTATTTTGTTTTTTCAGCGTAATCCATGCAGTATCAAAACCAAACTTGAAACTATTTTACGTTTGGAATTAGGCAAAGCAAGGAAATTGCGTGAATGGAGCTCAACAGCACGTATTGCTGAAGCATTGCGCTGTGTGCAATTGCTAGATGAACGTCGCTGTCTTAAGATTATAGAGTCATTACGTGCTGACATGCGTTTACGTGCTACATATCTCCGGTACTTGATTGTCAGCAAGCAGGAGTTGATGTTCACCGAAATGTACCTCAATAGGTGAGTAATCTTTATAGACACATTGATTGTTTTTAATTGGCCATTTTTTTTTTAGTCTGCATGAACAAATCAAACATGATCGATTCCAATGTGAAGTTTATTTTGCGGCTGTTTGCGTTCGTGAGTTCCTCACTGAACAAGAACCACTGGTGATGACTTTTTGCGATGGATTTCGCCATCTCAGTTTATCTGATGAAAAATGTGATTTTTTGCACAATTTTTATCACAGGCTTTATGAGATTATGAACTCGAACAAGCACTGGCAAGGTGAATAATAATTCAGTATACGGATTTAGATTTTGTAATTATTTCTCTTTATTATAGATGTTTTACATAAACGTGGTTCCTTAATCAAAGTCACCCTTGAAAGGTATATAATAAGCCGGGTCTATTATAATGCCCTCTACCCTAATGGGGATGGAGATAGAGACAGAGACAAGTAAGTGAAACATTATTGAAATGAAGTTTTTTAAAATTAATAATTTTAGGGTGCTTCATGATCATATCGCCACCCTCTCGAAAACGATAAGGCCCGAACACAAAGATCTGCTCATTCCCGCCGTGTATTTGCGCGAGAGTCCCTGGTTGCCGGCGCAAGAAGCGCTGCGCGCTTTGGACGCTGCGAGGGCGCCACGCGACAAATTGCGCTGCGTTGCCCGGTGCGCAAAGTGTCTTGTCGATCTGTTGGGATTATCAGGATCCTGTGCAGCCGCTGACGATTTTACACCGGTGCTTGTATATGTGATAATTAAGGTAAGAATTTTATTTATTTCCAATATAAAGAAAGTTAACAATAATAACAATACTTAAACTTAATCAGGAGCTAACCTAAGTATAACAAATCCAATTTATCTTAGAACTGTTTGAGTTTTTAGAGTAATAGACCGTCAGATAGTGACATATTTAAGTGCCCCTCGAAGAGGGTTGAAAAGTACATCGATTTTGAGTAGGATGAAGGTATTTTTGCGAGTGGCTCCTGGGGATAACACATGGAAAATTTGATTTTACTTATGTTATCCTAAAATCTAATTTTCCATTTGCGACACTCAAGCCAATATGTTTTCTTGCTACCGACGTTGTAGATTTCCAACCTTCCGATGGGCTTGTGTGGAATAATCGCACAAAATCTCGATTTTTCCTTACAATATTACGCCCTTATTTCAAACCTTTAGCTACCTGCAACGCCCCCTTCTTTGTTTTCACGAAGCCAGGTTTAATTAATTAATCCTTTGGTGAACATGGCTTGCGAGAAAATATGGGCACCAGGACGTCTTCCATTTCTGTTATGGAAAATCGAATTTTCCATAGGTTATCCCCAGGAGCCACTCATAAAAATACCTTCATCCTACTGAAAATCGATGTACTTTTCAACCCTCTTGAAGGCTTGAATGCGAAAGTGGGGCACCTAAATATGTCACTATCTGACGGTCTATAAGATTTAATGGAACCTGATTCTAGTTTATGTGTTCTGAATTATGTGCAGCGCTCTGAAATGTCACTGCTGAATGATCACAACCTCAAACACTTCTGGAGTTTTATCAATGCCAAGCGAAAAGCGAATGGTTTGCCGTCTCACATGTTTTATAATAGCAACATTGCCAAAAATGGTTCAGAGATAGCTAATCTCTTTGCTGAATACTTCCATTCTGTTTATTCCAACAAAATCTGTGTTGCTAGTCAGGACATCTCTCGGAGCGATGCACATATTCATGAATTTAACATCTCAATATCAGTTATTTATGAAGAACTATGTAGCCTGCAGTCTTTTAAGGGTCCAGGTCCAGACGGTGTCCCACCTCTTATGATAAAGAATTGTAGCTTTGTATTATCCCGTCCACTTTTCATTCTTTTCAACAAGTCACTCAGTTTGGGTGAATTTCCTAAACTCTGGAAGCAGAGCTTCACCATACCCATTCATAAATCTGGCGATAAAATGGATATTTCAAAATACAGACCCATTATCATCCAAAACACCTTCCCAAAGGTATTTGAGAGCATAGTGACAAAGTTTTTAACTCCAAAAATCAATCCCTGTCTAATTGAGCAGCAGACCGGTTTCCGTCCAAAATGCTCAACTGAAACCAATCTCCTGTCCTACCAGGACAAAGTTTCAAGAATTCTTGAGGATGGCGAATCAGTTCACTCCATATATACCGATTTTGCAAAGGCCTTTGACCGTGTCAACCATGCCGTTCTGCTTGCTAAGCTTGAAAGTGCTGGAATCTCCGGTACTTTGTTGAAGTGGATTAGCGACTATCTTGGGGAGAGAACTCAAATAATCAAAGTTAACAACTTCTTCTCACACGAAATTGACATCCCATCGGGCGTTCCACAGGGTTCTCACTTGGGACCTCTGCTGTTCAACGTTTTTATTAACGATATCAAGTCTTGTTTTATTAACAGTGAGTTCCTGTGCTTTGCGGATGATTTAAAGGTGTTCACCCGGGTCTCTTCTATTGAAGACTGTGCCAGACTACAATCTGACCTCGACAGACTCTCTGAGTGGTGCGCTTTGAGCGGCATGGAGCTCAATGCTTCCAAATGCAAAGCCATTGTTTTCTCCAAGGGTCGTAGCCCTCCACAATTCGCGTACCATATAAACAACATTCCGCTTGAAACTGTCTCACAACAACGAGATCTTGGTGTCATTTTTGACAGCAGTCTCAATTTTATCACCCATATTTCAGACATCACAACAAGGTCGTTAAAACTTGTAGGCTTCATTAAGAGGTGTTCGAGAGATTTTACAAGCATAGATTCTATCAGATACCTTTATTGCTCAATGGTGAGGCCCCTGATGGAGTACTGCTCCTCTGTCTGGTCACCAATGTATTCTAATCATATCAGAGCCCTAGAGCTAGTGCAGCGCAAATTCGTACGTTATTTAGCCTTCAAGGCAGGTATTCCTTCGCCTGAGAACTATGTGTATGACTATGACGACCTATACAGACGCTTCAATCTACAACCCTTGGCAGCTAGACGCAATCAAAGAGATTTATATACTTTTTACAAGGTACTGAACTCCATTAGTGATTCCGCATACCTACTGTCCAGAATAGGGCTTCACGTCCCAGCAAGGGACACCCGCTCTGCCATAACCTTCTCAGAAAGAAATCACCGTACAAACTATGGTTTCAATACATTCATCTCCAGAACTTCTCGATTAGGTAACACCCATGGTAGCCTGGATTTTTTTGGACCCATAAATAGCTTTAAAAGAGAGCTTAACTCTCTAATGTAATTCTCCTTGTTTGTTTGTGATGCCAAGTTCGATAGCTAAGAATTTCTAGTCATCTTGATCAGTCATTATTTATGTTTGTCCTCTATTTTCTTATACCTATAACTGATTTAATGTTTTACTGTTAATAATTTATATGTATTTTTATCCTGTCACTACGCCAAGTATTACTGGCCTATGTTTATTTAGTTGTAAGGTACTTAATGTTTCTTGTTGTTTTTTTTTTAATGGGTCTTGCCCGTAAATAAATAAATAAATAAATAAATAAATAAGTTCCAAGCATAAGCTATGTGAAAGTCTTGGGGTACAATAACTTTGTAATGTAACACTTAAAAAACAAAACATTCATTTTTCCAGGTAAATCCTGAAGCTCTCCTATCCACAATCCAATTCGTGAACAGTTTACATTCGGGGCAAATCCGAGGAGAAGACGAATATTGGTGGACTCAATTTTGCTCTGCTGTCGAGTACATCAAAACCATGGATTATTCCGATTGATTGAGGAAGCACATTTTTTGCCGAAACTATGAGGGGAAGGCGCTTTTTTTGAAGTTTTAGAATTTTCTGCAGCTGCAAGGTTGCAAATTGTTAATTTTTTTTTTGTGTTGTTGGATTTCGCGAGTGATACCGATCAATGTTCCTAAAGTTAGATTCGGTTATAAGGATGAAAATAAGGCGATAATCCAATTAGAAATAAGAATAATTCCCATTTAGGTTTTGTAGCTACTGGAAAGGTGCTTACTTTTTTTAAACTTTCACTCCATTATTTGCAAAGCGTCTTTTTCGGAGGGAATTGTTTCATAAAAATTGTATAATACTCTTCAAAGTAGAATGGATAATCGCTCGATTTGTAAATTTAAGTTACTAAAAGTGATTTGCAAATTCTAGAATTTTAAAATTGGCATTTTTTTTTTTTTAATTGTGAAAAAAACAAAAATATTTGTATTTGAGATGTGTATGAAAATTGTGAAAGTATATTATATATAATAATTATTTTATTTATGTATTTTTATTAACTTTGTTAGAATAGAGAGCCTTTATATGATTATATTTTAAATAAAAAATGTCTATAATATAGTAAAGTGATATGAGCTATCCAATTTGTTTTTTTCTAATGTAATGTAGGGATTCTAGAATGGATTGAAGATTGACCTAGCTAAAATCAAATAGTTGATGTCATTTATTTATAAAAGTTTACAGATTCAATAATCTATTAATTTCAAGGCTTCATCTAAACACCTCCATTTGGTTGGCAAGTAAAATGGTTCAAAAACATGAGGGAATGGAGTATCTGGACCTGTTACCCTTACCACGGGTGCAGACAATTTTAAGAAACAATTTTCCTAAAATAAAGCAATATTTTATAATGTTAACAATAAATAATTATTACCTGTATGGTCGCTGCAATTTCTGCCCCAAAGCCTGAGGTAAGCGGGGCTTCATGTGCAACTAATACTCTTCCAGTTTTACTTGCAGACTTGCAAACAGTATCAACATCCCAAGGCAATATTGATACCAAATCTATAACTTCTGCTGAAATACTGTGTTTTTCTTTTAAAAGATCAGCAACTTCTTTTAGGACATGTACTTGGGTACCCCAACCAATCATTGTTAAATCACTGCCTATAAAATTTTAATTTTAAAATCATACATAGAATATTACAAATTTTTCAACCATTGATTAATATATCTGCTTTTCCTATTGGAAGTTGATAGTCGTCAGTAGGTACTTCTTCCACAGCCATACGATAGAGCACTTTAGGCTCAAATATTAAACAAGGGTCAGGATCACGAATGCAACTTAATAAAAGTCCTTTAGCTTTAATCGGGCCTCTAGGAACCACAACCTGAATTTCAATAAGTCAAATTAAGCTTTCTTTTAACAAAACCTTACCTTTAATCCTGGTGTATGTGCGAAATAAGCTTCAGGACTTTGTGAATGATACAGAGCACCGTGTCCCACGGCACCGCAAGGCGAACGTACTGTTAGTTTGCCACAATCGAATAAATTTCCACTGCGGTATCTGTATTTAGCTGCTTCATTTACCAACTAGAAAAAAATTGTTTGTTTATTAAACACACAAATTTTGTTACTTACTTGATCGAAAGCTGGAAATATGTAGTCTGCAAATTGTATTTCTGCAATCGCGGTGCTTCCAGCTACTGCGGCTCCGATTCCAAATCCTGCAATACCTTGTTCGCAAAGTGGTGTATTGAAAACTCTTTGCTTGCCGTACTTTTTTTGTAAATCCAAAGTACATCTACAAGAAAAATGCTTTTTTGTTTGTTTTCATAAGGGTTATTGGTTATCACCTAAAAACACCCCCAAAACCCACATCCTCTCCGAAAATTATTGCTTTTGGATCCGTTTTGAGGGCCGTGTCTAAAGCATTATTGATGGCTTGAAACATATTCATTTTTGTTCTATCACCTTAAATTATTTATAAATTAACCAAGTATTTTGACTTTATTCAAAAAGTTTTACCTTTAATGGTAGAATTACTATCAGGGCTGTAAACAAAATGACTGGCACATCTTTGAGATTTGTTTTTCAAAGGCACAGCACTTTGCAACACTTCACCTCCTAATTTTACTATTTTATTTAAAACCATTTTAATATTTTCAATAAGCTCATTCAAATTTCAACTGATATACCAACCAAAAATTTTTAAAGACGGCGGCAAGCGTATCATATTTTTGTATAGCGTTAGTGACCTGCATGTCCTTTATCATAATGAGGCAATAATATTTTTGTTATCATTCGAATAGAGAGATACTGAAATATTCGGTATGTAGGTACCTACTGTATTTTATAACAATATATTTTTTTTCCTATGTCAAATTAAATTTCACTATATGTGTGTATGTATGTGTATGTGTGTTTTTCTGCTACTAATTTCTGGTTTCCTGCTCAAAACAGCCCCCTCCAGTCCTAGGTCCTGTAGGAATTTTGGAATATCTAGCGGTTTCAGGGCTGGAATGTCTTCCAACTGTATAGGGCACTTCCCAAGTGGCATCGCAGTTCAGTAGAAGATGGTGAGGTGTCTCTTTTCCGTCTTCACAGAATCTGCAGGTGCCATCTTCTTCTAACCCCAACTTCTGTAGGGGTTTCTTAAGTCTGCAATGTCCTGAGAGAAACCCGGTTAGAGTCTTGAGACTTTTCTTGCTAAGGTTGACTAGCAGTTCTGATCTTTTTTGGTTGAAGTTGCCCAACTCTCTCGTGTCCGATAACTTCTGTTTAGGTTGAACTACACGCATCTTCCAAAATATGTTGCATAGTTTAATCGATTAAATTTAACGCTCTTGTGATATAATATATGAATAAATTAATATGTACTTGGCTAATTAGTAGAACAGGAGTCGATAGTAAGACAGTTAGTTATGATTTAGTTTTTGTGACTATAAACGAAGTATTGTAATAGTGCTAATATATCTAATATTAAACAGCTTTAAAATAAATAATATCTAATAATTAGAGCGCCTCTAGTAAGTCATGCACATAAATCAATATGAACCATCTGGTAAATTATAAGTCCTAAAAGGAACGCATTTATGTCCAAATACCCGCGAACAATCGAAAGAATTTTTACATCCACCGATAATCAACCGTAATGGATTAATTAACACAGTAAAGCGCGCGATAATTGGTACTCAATCGTGTTTTTTCTACAACCTTTGCATCATTTATTTCGATTCTATTAAGTAGGTATTGCTAAATTGGGTCGGTGTTGATCCCATTTTGCTTGCTGGCTCGACTTTAGGCTTGAATTAACATTGGCGTTTTGATTGATGGACGACTAGGTACGTAAATTTTTCTTTTGTTTCGCTAGTCCATAACGAAACGACCGAAACAAAGTATAGACGCACATCAAAATGATAATTCGGATTTCGTTTTCATATATTACAAAAGATACACTTGACAAGGTCGGAAACGGTAAACAAAACGAATTCAATAGGGAGATACTAGACGACAACAAAATTAACAATAGATTTGGATTTGTAAATTGGAATCCTTAATAGGTAGTGTCCCATAAGACTATGAATTTGTTTTAAATGTTCTGCTGATTGAAGATTAGATGTTTCTAAATATTGGATCAGTTTTTCTTCAATTGGGATGTTCCAAAGGAGTTGCGAAACTACGCAAATTTCCTGCATTCAGATGAAATTGGATCACTGAACCAACTTCAACGAACATCTACAAGTCTGAAGTAGTTTCATTTAATTTTTCGAAGAAGAAGTTGACGTTTGGATTTACGTTTTTGATCTTATTACTGAGACATCACCAGCATTATTTTTCCCATGATTCTTTGTGTGGTACCTAGTCTGTTGGCGGTTTCATTGGTGAAATACCTTCCATAAAGTGATTACAGGTGAGATGCATATTATGTGTAATACCTTTTACTTCAAAAAAAAAATAAAAACTCAATTTATTGGAGCTAATTTTTTTATATTTTCATCCCCTAAGGTACAAAACCGTACCGATTTTGAAAAAAATTGGACACAATTTTGAAAGAGACGTTATGTATCACCTGTCAAAAAATGAATGTAGAACCCTATCGAAAATCTTCAGAAAAAAAATGAAAACTCAATTTGAAGCTAATTTTGTCATATTTTCAACCCCCTGAAGTGCAAAAACCTATGATTTAGATTTTGGAAAACTTATGGAAAGGTAGTAACTTTTTTTCTATTATAGATAGAAAACTGAAATTTTCAGCGATTCTTATCCCAGTAGAGGACTACAAACTCTGAAAATTTCAGCTCATATGGACTTATAGTTCCAGAAATAAAATCGTGTTAAACAATTTGGGGTGATTTATCAATTTTTCAATTTTTCTGAACGCCTTTTTTCATAGAATTTGGCTCCAAATCTCAGAATAATTTAGAGTATGGAGTTTGGGGGGTCCCAAAGGACCATTGAGACACAAAATCTCAACACAAAAAAATTGAAATTTCATCGTTTTGGTACTGAGGTTAGGCACCTGATGATTTAGAAAACTCTGAAAGATCATAACTTTTTTTCTATTATAGATAGAAAACTGAAATTTTCAGCGATTTTTATCCCAATAGAGGACTAAAATCTCTGAAAATTTCAGCTCATTTGGACTTTCAGAAATAAAATCGTGCTAAGCAATTATTTGGGGTGATTTATCAATTTTTCAATTTTTGTGAGTGCCTTTTTTCATAGAATCCGGCTCCAAATCTAAGAATAATTTAGTGTATAAAATTTGGGGGGTCCCGAATGATCATTTAGATAGAAAATCAAAAAATAAAACAATTTGAAATTTTATCATTTTAGTAGGTAAGGTAACCTTATGACTTAGGTTTTTGTAAACTTTGAAAAATCAATTTTTTTTTCTATTAGAGATAAAAAGCTGAAATCCCTGAAAATTTCAGCTCATTTGTAGGTACTTATGGATTTGCCCACGGGTCAGTTAAGTTAGCCCTCCCCAATAAAAAATTTCTGGATGAAAATTATCAATTATCCCATAGTTTTGCTCTCATTTTTCTCCATTTTGCTCCACTAATTTCGATTTTTTGAGACTATGTGGCCTATTAGGTAGGGGGGGGGGGGCTGAATTAACGCTAGCCCCCCCCAGTGAAAATTCAGAAATTTGATCATGCTCATTTTGTTCTTCGAGTTTTGCTCCATTTTGCTCCACTATCGGCGAGTTTTGCTCCATTACCAGGAGAGACCTACAGAGCTCCCAAGAAAATTAGTTTTAAAAAAATACATAAAATGGCTATTTTGAATTTTCTAAAAAATACAGGAAAAGTCAAAAATTTGCCACTGTTAAGTATTCGTTTGTACCTTCGATTTATGATAATGACGATAATGTAATGAAGTCATCTCATCCATCTACTTTTTAATCGCTTTGGGAAGAATATTCATACAAGTATTCAGTTTGTAGAAAATTAAATCTTTCTCTCATTTTGCGATGTACTGATGGATATGATTCACGTTGACTTTTCCTACTTTAGCTTTTTAAAGTCTCCATTATGATCTTTAAGTAGGTATTTTCTTCTCTGTGCTTGTAGAAGACCTCCATTCCATTATATACCTATATTTACTTGTTCCACTCAGATTAGAATTCGTTTTTGTCACTAGATGATGTCCAGTCTTTTATGGATCATTATCGCAACTCCCACCAGATGCCTATTCTTCTTCAAGTTGTTTTGGAATAGCAGATATCCGTTTGGGAATATAAGTGGATTTTTCTTCTGGTAACCTTGTTTCGCAAGTTTCAAAACACTTTTACTTTTACTTTTCTTCTAACAACTCAATTTCCAAAACTAGGGGGGTTCATTTTATTTTATGTTGGAATGTTTAACTTTTCCGAATTTCTGGCTTTCCCAGATTTATTCTTGAAGGATCCACTAATCTCTATCTCGGACAACTTAAATAAGAAAATTTGATTTTTCAACCATTTAATAATTATTTTCAACTAGGAGTTATTCAAATGTAGGTAATGTTCCTTATTGGTTCAAAAATTCCTTATACTATTAGGTAAATACCGTATACCATAAGCAGAATCGGCTTCGGCCATATAGGAGCGTGCGAGTTTTCGCTTTCGCATCCATCTGGGCACATCGAATTCATCGGCTGCATATCCGCTTACGTCACGGTACTATTCAGGCCAAACAACGGCCTTGCCGAGTAAAAGTAACTTAGCTTAACTGGGTTAGTACTGCCACACATCGAATAAGCTTCATTAGACATCATTTTTTGCCTATTTTGTTTGAGATGCTTTTCACTTGGTTCGCACAGCCTCTTTTGACCCACCTCATCTACATTATTTGTATATAAAATGCTAATGTTTATATGTCTGTTTAGTCTTTACACTGGAGTCGTGATCTGCTCTAGGAAATTGTTCTTTTCACAGAAAGATGCTTTTTTACATTTTTGATTTGATAAATGATGAAAAAAATCAAAAAAACAAGTAGGTTTAAGTACCATTCCTGATAAGTGGCGAATGCGCTGCAAAGGCAATGGTGCAATGACACAAAATATTCATCCTTTAAATTATTATCTTCTGGTAATATTACAAACAGCCCCATCAGTTACTGGAATTATAAATAAGACATTTCAAAATAATCGCTAAAAGTTGGGTCAAACAACGGTATCAAATCTTAATACATATTGCTAAACCAATATAGAGGTTCGAATTTTCTTATTTCTGTTTTGTGGATTGAAAACATTTGCATATAGACAAAATTAATGATTACTTGTTAAAATAAGCAAATCAAGTTAGAAATCTAGAGCAACAATAGATTTTTTTTTCAGTTTATTAAAAATACCTTCATACAAAAGGTAGGTATTAGTAATTGCAATCGATACGGTGAACGGCTCATAAATAATCACCTTTAATTAATATCAGTGTTTTTTAATTTTAATAAAGACAATATCCTATAAAACGCGAATTGTATATGTTTTACCGATCATGCAGAAAATTTATACGCAACAAACAACAATAAATTACAACCTTGCACTTACTTCGCCCGCGTGTATGTATTGGCAATTATTTAAATCTAACCAAGTTGAGAATTAAAGTAATTAAGTAAACATGAGTTGAGCAAAACAATTTTCTGTTCCAGTTTAATGACTATAATTTGAAAATTCAATGACAAAAATTTAGCAAAAAATCCTAAGTTCACAACAAGCGATAATTGGTTTTTACTTTCAAATTACTTTACTCACTTGTTATATGGCATAGAAGTTGTTGAATTATTTCATAAGCATTATTATATGCAAACAGCTTGATGGGTATCAAAAAGTAAAACCTTTCACTGTAGGTAATGTAAGCTTTTTTGAATTTAGAGGTGTCAAAGTGAAGCAGCTCATTTAAATTGAAAATTATAAAGAAATAATAAGGGGTTTGTTTGAGTAACAAGTCACACAAAAAAATAGCTTTTTCCGTTAATGGAAATTAACTTAATGTCAAATTTTCAAAAATCGCGGGTTCACGATACAATTTTTTGGACTACTTTTTTCCAGAATGATTAGGTAGGTAAGTACCTACCTATCAATTTTAAATAATTATAAGTTTATTTACTCAAACTCATCCATCGTTGGATACCAGGGCTGGGACTCTGTGACGAATACATCAGATATTTTCTCTATCTCCATTGGCGTCTCCTCTCTATTGATTTCGAGAAGAGAGTAGAAGATAGCAAGTTCCCTAGCGATAGGAATGACGATCTCTAGCCGTTACAGAGTCTCAGCCCAGGCCTCTCCCAATTCTCAGTCACCGAACTCTATTTTGTGCTACTTATCTTCAGTTTAATCCTGCGAGCCTTTTCTTATGCTAAAAAAGTACGGATTAGCTTTTATTTGCAATTAACAAAAGCCTAGAATCTGACTTATGAAAGGCATTTTGTGATCAT